GGAGCAGCCATGGTGGCTTGTAAGGGCCTAAAAATTGGTCCATTCGGTATTGCCACTGTTATTTGAGGTGCTACTTGATGACGGGTGAAAGAACACTGGATTCTGTCTGGGCCATAGGCATCATGGCGCCCACTCAAAGCATGCAAGAATCGAAGAAGATGCATTTGCGGAGCAAGGAATGTCTACGAAACTTCAACTTGTTATTGTATGCGTTTTCCTCGAAGTGCAAGGTGGATGCCCCTTCCAGCCTGGCACTTGAAGCTGGCTCAACAGCCCTGAAGCTTTGCACAGCATGTTTGACCTTGACAAAAAAATATTGATGCTGAGGCTTGGTTTGCATTCTTGGTGTGGAGCATCGGAGTCCAAAGAATTTTGTGTCTTGACAAAGAGTTTCAAGATCCGAATTTTCTCAGGATTCTCATGACCGAGAACATGTTGTAGAACACAAATCAGAGGATTGCAACATGATACTTGCCAACTCTTGAAATGGAGTTGTGCGGAACGCTGCAAGAATGGACATTGCTCGCATTTTTTGTCTTAAAGTAGACATCGCAGATTGCTGCCTGCATTATGCATGCTGCCACTAAGACTCGTCTACTAGACCCGCTGGCACTGCAACTGTTTGCTGCACAGCTGTTGAAAGAATGTCAACGTTCTGGTTTGTGTTTGTCAAATTTGAAGGGAACGTGTGAGCTGGTATCACTCTGAGGTCAGAAGCGTACGAGTATGTCCGCAGCTTTGGATTCAAAGCAAATTGACGAGAATGCAGAATGATGTGTGATGAGATCAGGCGTTGCGGTGTGGCAATTACCACGCATTGTGCCCTACGATTCAGCCTTTCAAGCTTGCTCATGTGTCAACCTTGGAGGGGATTGAAGCTGCTGGTGGATGCAATCGCCATTTTGCCTCATCATCCACATTGCAAATCCAGTCCTTGCGAGGCAATGCTACTTGCAGATATGGGGCTAATCGAAAAAGCACGACGCTACATGGTGTTGCTCCAGGCAGGGTGAGTGGACACGCCCCCGTAATTCTGTGTGATGTCACTACGCGAGGCATTTGTGAAAGCAGTCCCTCAGAATCGCCTCTCTGACGTCAAGACCTCTCTGAACAATGGTGGATGAACAGATGTGACGATCTCGCTGAGGCCTTCCGCTCCTCGATGCGTGAGTTCAACGAGGTGACCTTCAAACAGCGTGTGACGGCTTTTCAACATGCCAACCATTTGCGTGTGAGTTTGTATTGGTAGCAGGTGCTAAACCCGAGCGCCTCAGGCCATGCACAGTCTTAACACACTTGGTATGGTAATTGGATTAATTTTAATGTAGGCCCACAAGCAGCTCCAGAAGCACCTAAAGTTGGCAAAATGGTCAAGGACAAAGCTCTGATGACAAGGAGTGCCTGACTTTGACAAACGCCATCACTGTTGTGGCTCAGGACATGTTCCGGAACTTTGCCGAGACCACAGGCTTCGCTGTGAAGCCAATTGCGCCACCAGCACTGCCAGCTGAGGATGAGCGTGGAGCTGTGCTTTTAATCATGGTTCGAGAGTGAAACGAGCAAACCCTGGGACTTGCCGAATGTTTCTGAGGCCAGAAGCTTCGTCGCAAGCTGCTCAGCCACTACTGAACAATGCGTTTCAGCCACAGCCCATACCACAAGTACAATCACAGCTGTCCCAGCCACAAGGCTTCCCAACCTTCCAACCTCAGCAAAGTGTGCAGACCTTCCAACCTGAACACCCCCAACAACCCCAGCATCAGTCGCCGGCACCCCAAGCGTTGCAAGCGCCATCAGTGCCGCAAGCGCCTCAAGCCCCCATTCCAACACCGCCATTTCCAGCTGGTACAACCTCAAGTCTATTTCCAAGCCAGTCCACCACCGGTGACATTTCAGGTGGGGTCTCTCATGCAAGGTTTGCTGTGGCACATCTCAATGAGTTGACGGTGAAGGTGGTATCTAATTGTGTGCCATGTGTTCCAGCTCGAACCAGCAGGTTCTGCGCCCAGCGGTTCCATACCCAGACGGAATACATTGTGAGACTTCCTGTGTAGTACAACGACTGTTTCTAAGGTCCCAGTTCAGGTGTGTTTGGCGGCCCGCAAGGACCTTACATTGTAGACCAATCAGTGTAGATTCATTTCCTCGGTAATTATCAGCGCTCAGGTTGAGCTACGACTCTCATTCAGCTGGTGTGAGCACAACTGGCGGAGGGTTCGGTAGCGGACCGGGCCCAGGAACATATGCTCAGGCAATCCTGACTCAATACTCTGTTGGACCATACCTGCGCTGCTATCCTTTCACCAGGCTCAGTATGTGTCACCATTTCCTCAGCAAAACTTGTCGATGGTGGGTCAAGGCCTCAGGATTCTCGCGTCATCTTGCATGACAGTGTCATGCAAACCCAGGCCAAGGCATGGGAAATGCGGCTACCCCAGCACTGCGAGTGGCACCTTTGGGTATTTTTTTCGGATTGTAAATGGCGTTTCGTTTCAACTAGTAACTAGAATAAAGCGAGGCCTATCAGGACGAACCTGGTGAAACACAGGCGCGGACACGTTCAGGTATTTTGCCCAGTTTTGTACGACATATATAGCCCTCGGAAATCAGAACAGAAGGTGGATGGCCTCCAGCCTAGAAGGGACGGCCTCTAACCTAGAAGCAATGGCCTCCAAGCTAGAAGCGATGGCCCCCAAACTAGAAGCGATGGCCTCCCAGAGTCGTTGGTTTCTTCTCATGGAACTACAAGAATTCTTTGCCGCTTTGAAAGGACCGGCAAAAGCATCCGGACCGGATGGACTTCAGTGAGACTGTGGAGAATGATCCCTTTGTTAATGCTGGCAAGGTACTCGTTTTGCTTGCTTGTTTTGATCGCTTCAAGCGGACCTTTTTGCCTTGTAGCGCAGGCAGTTCTTGGGTTTGGCAAGTCTTTGTTTTCTGCAGGGAACTCAGGAAGGAAGGCAACTTCGGAGCACAACCAACACTGATGAATTGAGGCCATGAAAGGGGCAGCAGATGGCAGAAGTGATGATAGAAATCCTCAAGAGGATGCCAACTGTGAAAGCACCGGTGAGTCCGACGGTCCATGAGAAGCCTCTCATTCGATGCTCAGGAGCAAAAGCCCAGGGGCTTCTACTACAACGCCGAAAAGGGTCGTTGGATGGAACATGGAGTGGAGGAGACGAGTCGCTGTGGCACTGTCACGCGCAATGTAAAACCCGCTTTGTTTGAGGAGAAGGATCAGGAGGATGTCTCGGAGTATGATCCCATGACTGGCAAAAAGATCACCAAGGTGGCTTTTTGACTATCCATCGATTCTGTCACACTTGAAAACTGAAGTTTATGCTATGAACATGATGCATTGCATGTCAGGTTCCAGATATGCCACCGCCACCCATGGGCGGACCCCCACCCATGGGTGGACCTCCACCCATGGGTGGACCTCCACCCATGGGCGGACCTCCGCCACCCATGGGTGGACCTCCGCCACCCATGGGTGGACCTCCGCCAATGGGCGGACCACCAATGGGAGGTAGTATGGGTGGCGCACCGATGAACGGCTTTGGAGGCAGAAGAGAAGGTTTCAAGTGGTGCATGGGTGGCTTTCGCATTAGTTGCAGGTAATCCATACTCGGCAGCTGGATTGGGTAGGAATGCTCCGGCATCATCACTGTATGCTGTGCTGGCCAGCTTGGTGTTTAGTGCAGAATGCTCATCAATCATTGCGCTGCATTATGGCCCTTTGGCCAGGTCAATCCAATGGCAAATGCCATGGGCGGACCTTCACCACCAGCAGGTGCACGCTCTTGTTGACTTGTATCAGTACCACCTCGGTCAATAGAAGTTGTGGAAGAGCGAGGCAATCTAGTCCTGTGCAAGAAGTAACACAGCTCACAAGCAGAAGAAAGCTGTGACTCCAAGGGTTTCACACACACACACACACACATGCCACTCCGCTTGGCCACATGTCATTTTGCAGCACTCAGTTTGCTGCTGAAGTGAAGTTCTGTGCGACATCACTTATTCAGTCCTTCGTGCACGCAGACCTAGCGAAGCCGAACAACTCAAGCAATTAGAGTGAACTCCCGTTCTCAAAGAAACTTTTGCCTTGAGTGACAACAGGTCAGACGATATACCTACTTTGAGAAGCCACATCGGGCCAATTGGTAGGTTCCAATTGAACATCGATCTAGTCCCATCTCATTTTTGCTTCCCAAACAGATGTGGCTACTCCAAGGGCAAACAACCAGTGCACTTGTGTTTTCACCCCTCACTTAATAAATGGACACACATGCAAGGCAGGCCTTGAAGTGAGTAGCTGATTTTCGATAAAGACCAACTTGGCACCTGTGTGTAATTGTGCATCTGATCGGGGTTAGACATACTCTTCAACTGAGGTGGCAGTGTGTGGGGGGCACTCAGAGCTCAGGGAAAGAGGGAGAGAGAGAGAGAGAGAGTGAGAGAGGGCGAGGAAGAACAAGAGAGAGAAAGAGGGCGAGAGGAGGGAGAGAGAGAGAGAGAGGGAGAGAGAGAGAGATAGACAGACCAGATGAGATGCGATGAGATAAGATGAGATAGGATTAGCTACAATCACATAGGACTAGATAGGATTAGATAGAATGAGATGGAATTAGATAGATTCAGATAGATAGACAGATGGATAGGTATGCATGAATACAATTCGTAGAGATACTGTTGATGTTCAATTATGCCGCTAGTGGTAGCTAGCCATTCAAGTACTCAGACAACCACCCAGGTCCAACGCCGGATATCCTGGTCCCTGTGGCGCCGCAGCCCTACTACACATCGAAACCAAGCACATTTTTGAGGAAGGTTATATAATTACGTTTATTTGTTTTGGCTGCTCCCTGGACAAATGTGCTAATTTATGTTCAGCTTGCCATGTGGCACTGAAAATGGCTCTGGAGTGGAATCTTCTTGATTCATGAGGTTCCACCGCAGGCACCCTTGGCACCCTTCAACAATCAGGCGGCAACGGTTTTCCACGAAAGATCTTTACGAGAAGAAACGATGATATGCATTCATGAACTTCATAATGAACACGCATATAGAAATTTCAAACGCAGGCGGGAATGCCAAGATCGAATCCTTTTGGGTGAAATAGATTACATATGTTGAATGACTCCTTATATTGCGAATTGCTAAAGAATTGACAGCTGCATGCAATTCCAAAAAACACATCCCCAAATATCGCAACGATTAGACAACATCGAATATTTTTTTCATTTTTGCTATACAAATTATTTTATTATCGTATTTTAGGACGTCTACAAATGCTATTATAGATTATTTGTTTATTTAGGGAATCTCAACCAAGGTATTCTTAAATGATTCGATTATTTCAACAATATTTTGAATCATTCGGCATATGTGGATTATATGGCTTATGGTTCGAAATAATATATATATATATTATTATTAATATTATGAATTGGGATGCAATCGAACAAATATATGCGGATTTTTAAACCAAAATATTTGAAATAATCGAATTATTTTATTATTTTCGTATTTTCTTAAAATTGTTAATTTTGCTTTCTTTATAATTAATTTACGATGTTTATTACGATGCGGATTGCTTTCTAAATAATTGGATTAATTTATAGATTTTGATTTTTATATATAGCAAAAAAAAAAAAAAATTTCGTTTTGGGGTATGTATTACTAAGCAATTCCGTTACGTGTCGACGCGGTCGATCGCGGGATTGAATTTCGTATGATTTATCGTAAATAAGTTTGATTTATTTCGAATTTATTCGTAATGATCGATTTTGGATTTATATTTATTTGTTTAATTTAAGTATTTATCGAACATATTTTGGATGCGTATATTAATATTTTCTATTATAATATTCGAGCGTGTATATAAGGGTAAATTATTTTACTATAATATTTTATTTTTGATATTTTATGTGCGTAATTAAATGTAACACTAATTATATGTATATAACATAATTTATATAGATGTATGTTTTATTGCAGTCGTTTGGGTTTAATTTTGTGGTCATTTTACTACTAGAGCTCACGTTTGATTGAGTTAAAAGTGTACCTAAGCTTTAACTATAACCTTTGGGATTGTGACCTTACGTCACTGAGTTTACGAGCCTAAATTCTGCGTTCATGGTAGCGGAGCTGCGGTTTTAAGACCCGGCTACGGTCTGCGAATCGGAGGTTGCCGAGCCGCATCGACTCTGGCACCGGAGATCCACAAACAAGCATCACTTGCAGGAAAGCCGGATTGCTTCAATCCCTGGCTAGCAAGTCAACATGACGCAACAGCCAGGAGCACAGGCACAACAAGTAGACATGGCACAGCAATTTGCACAGATGATGCAAGCCCTAGCATAGGGGCAGAGCCAATTGCAGCGAGCAATGGCAGAAACATACACACAACAAACGGCGATCACAAAGAACATAGTCACCAACGTAGAAGTAAAAGACAGATCAGAATTGAAAGGCACTCCAAAGCCTGACAAGTTCAATGGACACACAGATACCTGGGACTCATGGTATTTCAAGTTCAAGACTTGGATTGAGACAAGTCATAAGAATGCAGGAAAGTGCATTCAGCTCCTCGAAGAGCATCAAGATACAGAGATCAATGAGACATCTCTGGAAGACGATTATCCTGAAGGAGCCGAGCTTGTTTCAGCTCAGGCGCGACAGGCTCTGATCTCACTGTGTGAGGGACAAGCCCTCGAGATTGTCAAGAATACCTCTAGAGGTCAGCACTTTGGCCTAGAGGCATTGAAACGATTGATCACCAAGTATGATCCACAGAACCCACAAGCAAACGCAGCTTTGCTGAAGAAGGTCCTGCACCCACAACAGTGTGCATTGGACAAGCTCAGAGAGAGCATAGAAGCCTGGAAAAACATCAGGCGAAAATACGAAGAGCGAAAGAAGAAAACTCTTGATGATGATATCGCAAGAAATTGTCTTCAACAGATGTGTGACCTCTAGAGTTCAAGACTCATTGACTATGCCATCATGAAATCAGAGATTTTGGCCTACCTCGAGAACATCGAGAGCCGAAGAGAAGCAAAGACTGGATCAACACCAATGGATGTTGATGCACTAGCCGCAGCTGCCAGCCAGATGCAATCTTCACTTGCAAGTCTGGCCAAAGCCAAAGGAAAGGATAAAGGTGGCTCAAAAGGCGGCAAAGGAAAAGGAAAGAGTCAAGATGGAGGCAAGGGAAACGACAAAGGTAAACAGAAGGGAAAAGGTTCCTCATGGTCCAATTTCTCTTCATGGAACACTTCATGGAACAAGAACGATGGGTATAGGAACGATTGGAACAGGAGTAGTTGGTACAACCAAAACTCCAAGGGTAAAGGCAAAGGTGGCAAAGGTAAAGACTCTAAAGGTAAAGGCAAGAGTAAGAGTAAGAAGGTAGCTTCAACTGAGGAGTCTGAAACTTCTATGGCTCAAGAGCACCAACCCGAGCCTGAGTATTCCGCTGACATCGCCACCCTCTTTGCCATCGAGATGGAGAAAGCAGCGCCTGCCGCAATTTCTCGCGGAGCAGCCAAGGCAAAAGCTGAGACTGAAGTCAAGGCAATGCCAAAGAGGCCAGGAGCTGGAAAAGGTCGTCCTGGAATTGCAGCTGCGGGGATTGCAGTCATGAATCAAGCAATCCAAGAGACCATGCAGTCCAACCGTGAACTATATGAGAAGAAGTCTGAGACGATCCAGAAAGCCATTGAAGAGGCCGAGGCTCAAGGCAAAGCAACCAATGACGCCATCTTGGAGCAGCAGGCCGAGATGAAGAGGCTGAAAGAACAATATGAAGAAAAGGAGACAGAAGCCAAGATCTTGCTGAAGAGGCCAACTCCTCGCCGCACCGCTTCGGTTCCGGCGGAGTCGCCAAGGCTATCAGCTGATTTGGCATCAGGCATGGATCCAAGATTGGCCAAGAAGAAGGAGAAGAGCCGTCAGCGCGCCGAGTAGCATCGCGTTGACAAGGCCCAGGATCGTCTTGAATCCTGGCGCGATTATGAGGCCAACTACCCTGAGGAGCTCGACTACTATGAGATCGCTCGTGCCAAGGGTATTGGTCGATTTCAAGCTTGGGATGATGAAGATGATGAGGGAAAATTTGATGAAACCCCTCAGCCTCGAGGTCGAGAAAAGGCCCAGAGGCATCGTGGCTACAAGAAGCCAGGAAAGGCAAAGAAGCCTGATCTCCACTCAAGAGTTGGCAGAGAGATGAAGCGGGAAAGCCAAACATGGACGGCTACTAGCCATCCAGCCCGCAGTGTCATCGACAAGGCGCTCACTGCTGCTGGGTTCAACCCAGAGGACTATGTTGTGATGAAGCGCATCGAAAGCCAAGGCGAAGGAGCAACAAGCGCACCATCCTTCGCAGCTCCAGTCATGGAGAACATCAATTCCCTTGATGTGACCGAGATCGAGGGACTCGAAGAAGAAGAATTTGAAGATGAAGTTGAGGATGACGAGAATGGCACTGAGCCAGCTGACGATGAGTCAGATGGACAAGAAGAAGAAAAGGAGCCAGAGAAAGACATCGTGCCATGGCTCGATCATATGTTCCAAGAGCGAATCCTCAGCTATGATGAATGGGTAGCCAAATGCACCCACAAGGACAAAGATGGCCGCAAGCACATGGTTTGCCGTGCATGCAACAAGGCCCTGAAGTGTGACAATGATATTGGCCTGTGGAACCACCATATGGCTTTGAATTGCTGCCCACCAAAAGTCCTCAACCAGTGGGCAAAAGAATGGACTCTCAAGCAGAAGCGCATTAAGATTGCCAAGGGACAACGAGGTAGCCCAACCTCAAAGGATGCGCCAAAGCATGTGAAGGACGCCAATATGGATCTGAAGCCTGAAGATGTGGCAAGGCATTTGAAGATGGAAGATCCAAAGCTTGAGATTGTCAAGAAAGAACATCCTTTTTACATGACTGCCCATATGCAGAAGATGATGGAAGAGCAGGAGTTGTTGGCCCAAGGAGGAGCGCATGGCCTGGTTCAAGAGCTCGACTGACCAGCACATGGAGCGATTCCGTGGACCAGGACCCAAGCAAGAGGAATCCAGCGAAGCGCCAAGGCAGACGCTTCGATTGAAGTCCCGGTCTCGATCCCCGGGAAAGGGCCGAGCCGCTTCGGCTCCGGCTGCCTCCGAGAAGGGCCATCAGAAGGGCAAGCAGAAGAAAGTGCAGTTGACTCGAGCAGTCAACGTGGCCACTCAGGAAGCTGCCCGCGAGGCCAAGAAGGGAAAGGGAAAGCGACATCCCACTCCCTCAAGTGAGCCTGAGGAAGGTGAGGAAGACCCATTGGCTCTCAAGAGTTTGGAGCTGGCATCCATGGAGACGCCAATGGCTCATCAGGTGACCTTGGATTCAGGAGCCGCTACGTCCTGCATCCCTGTCGAACTCGCCGAAGCACTGGGCTACAAACCTATCCAACCTGAAGGCACCAACAAGGTCTACAAGACCGCCTCAGGCAAGATCGTGAAGGATCTCGACAAGGTCGACGCCAAGGTGACGATTGGCATCGGCAAGGAAGCCCTGAAGGGACGCTGCAATTTTCGAGTGATGGCTGTCTCCAAGCCGTTACTTTCTGCAGGAGCCCTCGCAGACAAGGGCTGGTCCATCCAGATGAGCAAGGCTGGAGGACACATTGCTCGAGATGGGAAGAAGATCCCAATCTCCTTTTGCAACGGAGTTTACTCCGTGCCGATCGTGTTCCACCATTTCACCCGGCACCGAAGTGGGTAAGTCCGGTGATGGACGAAGAGGCCCCGGCAGATTTTGAAGCCGCTGAGGCCGAGCCAGGTGATGAAATTCCGCCTGAACTCAAGATCAACGCTCCAGTTCGCCCAACGCGAAAAGAGCTTGAGGAACACGTTGTTTCAGACTTTCCTTTTCGTTCCTGGTATGAGGCCTGTGTTAGGGGAAAGGCCAAGGCAAACCCACACAGGAGAGTAGACCACACAGACGAAGCCACACCAGTTGTAACTGTAGACTACTGTTTCATGAATTCACGAATTGATGATGTAGTTTTGGATGAGAAGACTCATGCACCAATTCTTGTTGTCAGAGATTGATGGACGAAACATCTTTTTGCTC